GGCGTGCGCGTCCCAGCCAGCGGTACCGCTGCCGCTCCGCCGGCGCAGGTGAAGCGACCCGAGTTGTGCGTGTCGCAGAAGCCGTGTCCGAAAGCCCAGGGCTGACTCCGGCACGTGGTGAGCTGCACGCGTTCAGCTGGGGCTCTTCATCCCAAGGCCTTTTCTCAGCGAAGCTAATCAAAACCCCAGCAGGTCTCTGGCAGTGGCTCTGGCACTGTGAGCACCCCCGTCCTCACCAGTGGTTTTTTTGTGTGATGAGCTGAGAAAAGGAAGTGCGTTTTTCCCAGGGGATATAAAATCCACAGGAAGGAAGGAGCTGCCGATGTTTTCCAGTGTAGTAAACCTCTTGGAGGATAGTGTGAATTCAAGAGAGGCAATGTGGGGAAAACCTGACCTGGTTGTTAAATTAAATAAAATTAAAAAAAAAAAAGTTGGATCATGTGTTGCCATATGAACAAGTGAACAGAGATGTGGCGCCTGTCTTCACTTCTGCACACGCTAGGTCTTCACGTCCTCTGAAAGGTGGTGAAACACAAAATGTGCTATTTTAGCCGCCGCAGCAGCGGGCTGAGAGAATTTCTGACGTGCAGTTTGGCTGTTGATTAATTGCTTGACGTTTTGCAAAACTTTATCAGTCCCTCAAGCGTGATGGTGTTTTGCAGCTTTTACCGTTGCATCTTGCAGGCACGAAGCAGTCCTAGGGGTGTCGTCTCACCCAGTCCGGAGCCAGCGTCGGACGAGCAGCGGGAGGCTCGTCCGATCCGACCCGTGGCACCGCTCTTTTTCACCGGAGTGTTAGCACCTGAGTTCCCTAAACTCGGAGGCGGAGAAGGCGAGGAAGAGGAGGCACTCCCTGAGCCTGCGTGGCGTGGGTAAGCCTTCGGGGAAGGGCAGCGAGGAAGTTGCATTCGCTGGAAGTAGCCCTCTTTCAGCAAGAATGCTCAAAAAAAAAAAAAAAGGGTATTTTTAGTTCCGACCGTTGGGAAGGTAGCAGAGGGTGCTGCGGGTCTGACCCTGGGCAGACAGCTTTGCTGGAGGAGCGCTGCCACGTTAGCCTTGCTCTTCTCAGTTGTCTTTTGATTTCACAAGTGACGTATGCCTGGGCTCCTCTCGCAGGCTATAGTTTCGGGGGACTGTTTCAGTCTGTCGCATCTTGAGCCATGTAAAAAAACAAGCAGCAGGAGACTCGCTTTCAGCAGACTGTCACTCTGCTGTCACTCCTTAGCCTTGCTTGAGACCCAGATAGCGGCTTTCCCATGGCTGCTGCCTGCTCCGTGGGGCTGGCCCGCGGCAGCAGTGTGGATGTCGCTCTGCAGAGCCCGCTCTCTCTCGTGGGTGCCCTGCTGCTGGGGGGAAGGACATCTTCCCGAGCGAGCTCTGCTCCGCAGGGCTCCCTGGGGTCAGCGACGGAGCAGCAGAAGAAATGAGCACGCTCCCTGAGCGCCCCACGCCTCTCCGGCGGGGGCTGATGTGCAGCTGTAAAGCGCGGTGTCCAGGAGACAGAAGTGTTTCTGTATATTTAATTCTCCAATTTCATGTTGCATTATTGTAGCTGTTGAATATATTCATTGAGCTGAATGAATCCCCATCTGGCAGAGTCCGTACCACAACGTTTGCAACTTCAGCTTCGGTTTTGGAGAGGGAAGGGAATATAAGATAAGAAAGGGAAATGATGCACAATCCTACAGAGAGTTTATCTGGATCAGCAAGCTAGGATCTGAGCAAGTGTTCAGATAGAGTGAGTGCCAGGAGTTTTTTCATATGTCAGGCTGGGAAGACTTAAAGCTTTGGGTTTAAGGTGGCGCTTTTAAAATAACTAGATGAGTGAGTCTAGGTCCTAGTTTCAAAAGTTACGTGGGAGTCTTAATCTCACTGCAAGTCGTTGGGGCTTGGGTTCTAAGTGCGTTCTAAAAACAGGATTTGGAATCAGTCACTTACACCAATTTTATTGTTGTACAGCCACATACTTACTTCTGACATTTTTACTAAAATACTTACTGAGAAAATGGGATTTATCCTAGGACCACAGCGATGTGCCATTCGAACTTGGAAAATGTGATGTTACGGATCAATGGAGTTTGTGTCCCCTTTGCAAGATGGGACTTCCAGCTTTTCCTTCATTACTGAGGGAGGCATCATTGCTTATCAGTGAAAAACCTCGCTGGAGTGGTGCTTACAGCTGCACTGGGGTTGGGGAGGGGGTTGAGTAGTACAGCAGATGGCATCCACTGACCCCAGACAACTTGCAGATAATTCATTTTCCCATTCAGTGCACGTCCGGTGCTCCTGGGTGACATTCCCTTCCACAGGGACCAGAGGCTCAGATCTGTCAGGGTTGCAGTGGAGAACAGGAAGGTCCTCACTCACCTTTGCAGCCCTTCAAGTGAACAGCACCATGCCCTGGATTTCTTCTCAGGAGACATTAAATGTTTGATTAAAATAGGTTTCCCTGTTCTCTGCCCCAGCTCTGGCTGTGAATATCTTGGTCCCTCACTCTCCCTTTGAGAAGTGTGGTATATTATGTTCTGCAGAGGTGGCCAAAACATGGGATTGCAGCAGGGTCTCCCGGATAAGCACCTCTCTCCCCCTGCTTCCAGTTATTAAGTGGTGTAAAGCAGAACCCAAACTCAGCAGAAGAAGTTAATACCGTAGTGTCAACCTCAGCAAGCGAACAGCTGGTTTATACAGGAATTGACTTGGATTGAAGGCAATTCAAGAGTAGTTGAAGCTTCACCCAGCAGAGGTACAGTAAACAGAGGCGGGGGGAAGCCAGAAACATCAACCATTGCTTAGATCCATGCACACAGAAAGAGTTTTTCCAGTCTCATTTTTCAGGACAAAGTTGCTCACTGGATGCTGTCCCATGCGAAAACTAAGCCATCTGTTCGTAAGGATTAGTAGTTCAGGGACTGAGATATTATTCATGTCAGGAAGATAGTTTTTAACTATCTGGGACTTACCTGAGGTGATACCGAAGTCAGTCGCTGCCCTGCACCAGGGCTGGGAAGTGAGCGCTATGGGCGCACGCGAGGATCGGAAGGAGAGGCAAGCAGGTGCTGCAAGAGGAACGGCGGAGGCACGAGGAGACCTTGTGGCACCCTCTGTGCCAGCTCTCATGGTGGGACAGACCGCAAACATGCTGTTTGTGCCACAGCTAAAGTCGTACCTCAAAGCTCATGATCCGAGAGATCTTCCCAGCACTTCGGTGGGGTCTGAGTAAGGCCCTGTCAGCAACTGTCGTAGGACTGGCTGCTGCTCTTTCTTCCTCTGTGCTTTTTAACCTTTGGATGATCCTCACTGAGCATAGGTGTATGCCGTTTCTTTTTACAAAAGCAAAAAGCCCAGTCTGTGATGCTGTCAAAATACCTGAACTGAACAGTGGCTCTGCTTTCGTTTCTTGCCATAACCAGGCTCCCATCTCCTGCCTATGTGTCTGATTTCCCCTGATTCTTGCTGGCAGGGAGGCCCAGTGCTTATGTCTCCCCGGTGACGTTCAGGGGTGCACTGACTTTGCATCTGATGGAAAATGACGGTTTTGCTTGGATACTGTTGGGAGATCCTGGAAGCTGCAGATGGCCAGAAGCAACTCAAATCCAACCTTGAAACCTGGGTGATTTGAAGAGCTGTGTAAAATATTTTTCATGCTGGAGTTACTGCCTGGGAAGCAGCAGAACTCTCCTGAAGTGTAGAAAAAATGTGCTACAGGCAGGGTGAAATCAACACAAAACTGCCCTTTTTTCCATACAGTAACCGAAGGAAAGCCAGGATGGCTGAAGAGGAAAGCCTTATCTGTGGGTCAGTGTCATATGTTCTGACTAATAATACATTCTTACTGTAACACATCTTACCAACCGAACGGAGTAGAAAACGTCAGGTTATTATATAAGCGGTAGGAAAGGTAGTGTTGGGTGGTTGCTGCCGGGACAAATGATGCTGTAAAGGAACTGCGTGAATAGGAGAAGGGCACAGGTGAAGAGCACTATACTCAGGCCAAGGTTCGTCTAGCTATGGGTGCCAGCCTGGAGGAAGGATGCAGAAGGAGTGACGCCAAGTAGACCTCTTCCCTGCAGACTTTTCCAGGATGAGGCTGCGCTTCCCCATGCTGAGCAGGGGAATGGATGCGCTCAGGAGGTCGCGTTGCGCTCGGCAGAAAGCTGTGCTGCTCCCCTCCAAGCCCCAGCTTGCTTGTGTGGGGGTCGCTTGGAGGCGTGAGACCTTGCAGGGTTTCAGTCTCTGTTGCCCACTGTTGCAAAGGACCTGGCCAGGTCTTATTGTATCAGTGGCTGAGCAGACAGTCTGGGCTCCAGACAAGTTACTATATATCTAAATCCAGCAGAGGAAAGTTTGGAGTGGCTCAAAAAGGGAAAAGAGTCAGGGCGTGCAGGCAGAAGGCTAAGCCATGCTATTTTAAATTGTTGGGTCCTTGGGAATAGCAAGTGTGTTGTATATTCTGCGTGATTTTCCTATCCCGTCTGCTGGGATATTAACAGTTAAATCCTTGAACTGGCAAAGAATCTTGCTAAAATCCTGGGCAGCACAAAGTTTAAGATCTCAAAAATGCTATGAAAATGCTTATTATATACTTTAAAATCACAAGTCCTGACTGTTAAAGCCAACAAGCACCATAAAGCAAAGATCCTCCTTCTGTGAAGGTCAGCCCAAACTTCTGTGGGCGCTCAGTGGCAGATCTCAAGAGCTTGTGCACAGAGACCATGCTCTTGTGAGCTTTGAAGCTGTGTCCCAAGCTGCTTAAGCAAAGCCAAGAGAGATGGCAGTTGGATTTGGCCGGTTCGTTTTAACAGAAGCAGCTAGTGACACTTGAGTTGTTAAGATGCTTGTCTGAAGCGTGGGTAATATAGCCCTTCTCCAATTTCATTATGCTGTTGTTTCGGTACTCAGCGGCTTTGTGGCAAAGCTGGGGAAGGGGAATGTAATCGTCTGTTAGCTGAATAACAAGGCGTCTGCTCCATGCTCGCAATTGTCTTTAATAGCGCGGAGTGGTTAGAGGCCTCCCGGGCCGTGGTCTGCACACGTGCAGACTGCCCAATGTGCTGTTAGTCTGCAGAGTTTGTTGTTCAGAGACAAAAATGGTGCTCAGGGGATTTCTTGCTTTCTCTCATTTGTCACACGGAAAGTATTCATAAAAATACTGTCAGCGCTTCCAAGAAGAGCTCCACCAAAGTGCTGGAGCAGGGGAGAGCTCCTCCAGTGGACACAGAGGACCCTCTCTGCATCCTGCTGTGCGGGTGCCTGGGGTTCACGTGCTCCATGGGACATGCAAAACTGGAGAGAAGGGTGAGGCAGAGTATTTTTAACTGGCTCTTGATGCTATTTTTTTCCTTCTAACACTGCTTAATTTAACTTGAGCTGTCATGCATTGAGCATTAAGGGAAAAAGAAGGAAACGGGGTGTTGGTGAAGAGATTAGTCCTCTCCATTGAACATCCTCGCAATAGCAGTCACATCTTCTGAAAGCAAGGATGTGTAATTGGGGCTTGTTCTTAGACCTTCTGTAGCAGTAAAAGTTTATAGCCCAGAGAAATTTCATGCATTGGTGTTCATAACTCATGGCTCTTGCAAAGCTGAGGGAAAGGCTTACACTGCATATGTGGTTTCTGTTCTTAGCCACATGAGTTTAAAACAACCTAAATATCCTATATGGCCAGATATGGAAAAGGTGTCTGGGATCTTCAGTCACATTATGTCCTGCCTTGCTGCAGGAAGGACGTAGAGACCTCGAAAAGCTGTCATTATGCAAAGAGATTTATTTTCCTCTTCTCAGTATATCAGAGAACTCAAACCATTGCAGGACTTTGTGCCATCTTAAACAACATTTGGAAGTGAACAAAAACAACTGTTGACGATCTAATATT